TATATACTCTATTTATGTAGTTAAGTGTTTTAATGATTTGGCCAATTAATCGAAAAAAATAATCGACAGATTAATCGATTATTAAAATAATCGTTAGTTGCAGCCCTAACTGATTGATTGATTGATTGATTGATTGATTGATTGATTGATTGTCATTCAGCAGAAAGGAGAAGTGATCTGACGACGTACCCTCCTTCAGTTGAGCTGTCCCAGGTGCTGGACAGGCCCTGGCTGGCAGTGAAGTAAATGGAGCTGGAGCTAGCAGAGTCAGTGCGCTCTCTGTGGACAACATGGTGCCTGCGACGGACCAGCCTACTCTCCTCTACACCCTTTCTGAACGTGGAACAAAATCACAATCAGTTGTACAACCAAAGCTCACTGCAGAATAACTACAACAAAACATGTTTTTTTACAATATCACACATGCAAGTTACACAGATTTTCCCTCATTTTGCAGGTACATGGATGTATAGAGCAATCGCATGGATTTTTTTCAAGTTTTACAGATTTATTTAACATGTCAGAGCCTATAGGATGTTACATCAAATAACCATCTTCCAACCCACTCTGTCACTAGAAATGAGTTCTCCCGTCCTCATTTTCTCCAGCTTTGCGCTGTGATTAATATGGATTTTTGTGTAAAATGCGCCTTTTTGAGGTTCATTATACAGGTAAACATCCGAAGAGGTTGACATGTATGGAATATGTATTAAAGCAGCACAATACATTGCAAATTCACCATCATCGTAGGGCTGGGCCATATCATATTATTCACGATAATACCGTTAACAAAAATTTGCCCGGGAAAATAAATTATATCATGATATGCTAATTTCATGACCGACGTCATTTTGCCCATGTCAGAGAACCTGCTTGTTTTCTGTTGTGGTCTTGTTGAAGCCGCCCAGTCTGATACAGGTTTAAACAGACGCTGCTTTCAACAAATCAAACAAACCCCACAGTTTTATCCAATCAGAGCAGAGAAGGGCAGAGCTTTCTGACTCAAGTTTTGCCAAAAATGTTTATTTAAATATATTAAAAACTCTAAAATGATAAATATAAACTACAGAAAAGCTGTTCAAAATCAAACTCTTCCTTAAAAATCCCTTTGGTCCAAATGGTTCAGGTTAAAATTTTTGTATAATGCCTCATTAAAGAATTCTGTAGGGGTCACCTCGAGTTAAATAAACAAGGAAACTGTCGTGGACCTCAGACCTCTGATGGGCCTTTAAAGGGATAGAAACTCTGTTCCACTTAGAATTGAATTTAGGCCACCTCAGGTCACCTTAACCTGTAAAAGAGACATTCTCTTTTTCTTAATCAGATAATAAACAGAATAATCTTTTTATTTGATTTATTTTTCTCTTAACTGAAAGTTATGACGCGTTTTSATAATCATGAAATAATGTTTATCAAAGTTACAGGAGAAAAGAGAACTGATATCTTTCTCCTTCAGCTATGTGTGGATTTCCCATGCAAAAATGAATGGACAACACAATCAGTGACTTTGGTCAGTGAGTTTAAATTCGATCCKTCAATAAATGAGATCATTTATTTACATAATCAAACAAAACAATTACAGTACACTTAATTGTGAGCAATCAATTTCCTATAAAAGTTTAYGAATGGATAACAATCTAGATCGTGTCCAAAATTAATTGTRCYTCAATTCAGCACTTCGACAGCAAATATCCAGCTTAGGTTTTGAAAACCAGATATTTGAGGCAAGTAACTTAGATTGACATGGTAAGAGTTTGAGAGAAAGGAAGAAATTAAGATACTAGTTAGTTCCTAACTTATCTTATCTTTAATAATGTGGGAAACCAGATGCAAGGTKTTTATCTCTCAACGTCCGTCTGACCAGCAACACAGTAACAAAGCCAGTGTTACCTGTGAGATGAACGTCCAGTCATGATTCAGGTAATAAGGGAGGTCGAACAGTGAGCAAGACAACTTCCAAGTTCCTTGCTCGCTTGGACCGTCCAGGACCAGTTTGATCCACATCAGCCACAGGAGAGGGGCGAAGCCAAACTGGATCCCGGCTCCAAACTAAAACTTGCTCCCCACAGGAAGTCAAGACAAAGTTGCTTTATGAGCTTTGAGCTCTTGGTGGATACGCCAAGCGTTGGCCATATCCGGCCTTGTGGTTCCCCGTTGGCAATAAAGGGTAGAACCGACACAGTTTCAGCTCTGGTTCTCCCACAGGAGACAGCTGTAGTGTTGATGGAAGGGAGGTCTGTCTCTCTCTACTCCCCAGGCGGAAACTGTGTTAGTCATTTAAAGATGGTTTTTGTTCCACGTTCAGTCTGATATGTTAGTCAAGGAAGATAACGAAAATGTCAGAAGAAGTTGTCAAGGCCAGACTTATCCACCATAATTATTGCTTCTGTGTAGTTCAGAACCAAAACATATCATGACCTGTTTAGTTATTTTCTGATGAGAACTCTTTAAAAACATAACTGAAAGAATGAATTACTTCAAACTCAAACATTTGCAATATGATTCAGAAAAATAAAACATTAATGTTTCATCAACTTAAACTATAATGAGTAGTTAAGTTAAATAAGACTTTTGCACAGAAAATCCACACATAGCTGAAATCATACTAAGGGAGAAAAGATTTGTTCTCTTTTCTCCTGTAACTTGATAAACATTGTTTCATGATTATCAAAATGCGTCATAACTTTCAGTTAAGAGAAACATAAATAAAATAAAAAGAAGATTATTATGTTTATTATCTGATTAAAGGCACAGTGTGTAGGATTTGTTGTTTTCAGCGACATCTAGTGGTTGAGTGGTTGAAACATCCTCCCTGGTCCTCCCCCCACCCCCACCCCCCGCTTCCAAACGCAAAGGAGTTGCTACGGTGTCTCTCAGGTGTCAAAAACCTTTGATAATTCCAACCGCGATGTCTACCAGCAGCTTCAGGGCTAGTGATGTTTCAAGTGGTAAGATTATGAGCTTTAATAAGTAAAATTATCCCAGCTACAGTGACAGACAACAAATATTACATTTATAGTATTACAACTAAAACCGTTTTTGACGCCGCCACCGCAGTTTGTCCTTCATGAGCCTTCGTAGACAAGATGGCGGTGCAAGATGGTCTGCAATGATTAGACATGTTTTTTTTATTATTGTCATTAGTGATTACCTCAATTTCGGCTAAAAGAATTGACAAAATCCTACACACTGTGCCTTTAAGAGAAAAAGAGAATGTCTCTTTTACAGGTTAAGGTGACCTGAGGTGGCCTAAATTCAGTTCTAAGTGGAACAGAGTTTTTGTCCCTTTACAGGCCCATCAGAGGCCTGGGGTCAAAGCCAGTTCCCTTGTTTATTTCACTCGAGGTGACCCCTACAATACTAAACTGTGTACTTTGACTATGAACATGGACACAGTGTATAGTGTTATGACTGTACTATACCATGTATTTGTGTGTGGTGGTGAATGGTGGTGGTAAGCAATATCATGCATTTATTGTTATCGAGGAAAACTGGTCAATATACTGTGATATTGATTTTAGGCCATATTGCACAGCCCTATATTATCGTAATATTAATATGGTAAAAGAATGTTTGAACTGCAATAAATCATAGGTCATAATATAGCGTGAGTCAAAAGTCACAGGACACCCTTTTATTTTATACAGAAGGGAAAATAACATATCTGAATACCCCTGCCAGTAATGAGTGAGGGGGCCTATCTTCAGCCAGTACAGGCAGAGGTATTCAGAGATGTTATTTTCCCTTTTCTACACACAACACAAATTTTGTTCAGCCGGGAAAACAGTGACAAACTAAGCAAACTGTGTCATGCAAAAATAAGGAGGTTAAAAATGAGCTAATGTGGCYTTCTTTCACACCAGCATGGCATCTTTAAYATGTTTCATTAGCCTGGTTAGTTTGGTTAGCCGAAAGCTAGCTTTAACAAAGATTTGTGCCTCTTTCTCCACACTTTGTGACCTATGACTGTTGGAGTGAGCTGATAAGACAGCTAATTACTGATTCAACATCACTTCAGAATAGGGTTGGGCATAATCGTATCGTGTGCAATTAATCGTCAGAAAAACATTAATCGATTACATTTTGGCATTTGACGATTAATACGATTAATGCCACCAGGCAGARMGACTGGGGATTACTCCGGTTTAGTCTGCTCGATGTTCCTCTCCACTTCAAATATGACGAACATTAAAAATAAAGTTCTGGATTTATTTATCTATCAACACAATTTTAAATTTGACGTATAGCATGAAGTCTGTAATTTTGGCACAATTTGGAATAGATTTTTATGAAGAGCAAATCTTTACCACTAAATTGGTCATGTGACCAGGACATAAGAGTGTCCAGGGACTCCAGGGGATTAATAGTCAAATTAATCGTTATCGGCTAAATACCACAATTAATCGTGATTAAWTTTTTTTTGCAAATATTGCCCAACCCTACTTCAGAAGCTGACTCAACCCTTTTACCAGGAAGTTATTAACAATCCATTTTTGATGCTGAGAAAAGGATGCAGAATCTCTGATGACAGCACTGCGATGTGTCAAAAAACAAATCACAACATCCACTTTTAGGTTCTATGCAGTATGCTGGAGTTGCACTGACTTGACATCCTGGATGATCTGCAGGGCGATGTCATGCAGCCCCCCCCTCAGCTCAGCCACCTCGGAACGCAGCGAGGCCATGCAGCTCAGCACCTGATCCAACTGGTTTCTGAGTTCCAGCTGCTGCTCCGGGGACAAACCCTGCACCACGGCCTCCACTGCTGCTAACGCCTGCTGCTGGGCCTCCATCTCTGCAGACAAACAGGTCTCATCTCACATTTATGTTATTAAGAGATTTAAATGCCCCCCCCTTCACTATCCTGCTAATATCTGTTTGATCTCCTAATCCCAGATCAAATACAGTTAGGTCCATATACAGTGGTTTGCAAAAGTATTCATACCCCTTGAACTTTTCCATATTTTGTCACATTACAACCACAAACATAAATATATTTCACTGGAATTTAATG